CCCAAACCATCAACAAAAACAATACCGTTGGCACGGAAACAAATTTTTCCATGAACTGCAGGTCCAAAATTGACTTTTAACTGTGAAAAAAGTGAAAAAACAGTAAGAGGTGATTTTTTGACAGCGTGTAGCGACCAAGGAGATGGTGCAAACGCGACCAAGCTTTTACCAGGTATAACTGGCGTCGAGAGGAAGCTTCGCTAAAAGTTTGAGCAAAATCGAAAAAACCGCCCCTTTGGGAGGGGCGGAAAATTAGGGTTGGGGGTGTCGCAGGCGATTGAGCCGTGCATTTTCGGAAAGGCAACTGGCCGGTCCCAAGCGTGTTGCTTGTTTCGAGGCAATACTGTATTTGTACTTGTTTCTTCCTCGTCCTTGTGGAACGACCCTGGAACCCAGTGATGAGATATTGGACGGGTTTTTTCGCGCATGCGCGGAAATTTTAGTCTCAGTAAGGTACAAGTTTCAGTAAAATGGGGTACCTTAATCACCCCTCATTATTTTTCAAAAATTTTTATAATTTGGTTGTGAAATATGAATGTATAGGTTGAATAAGATTAGATTATATATATATTTTCATATTTGAGATGAGGAGCAGATGAAAAGGAAGGGTACTAAAATAACTGTAACCAAAATATATAATAAAGCCATCTAGTGGCGTCGCTAAATACATACGCTGCGTACGTTCCTGCATTTCTCGCGCATGCGCGCAAAAACCCGTCCAATATCTCATCACTGCTGGAACCTAAGTTCAGATAGTTACAAGCGCTAGGAAGGTAAAGAGCAGCTTTTACCCACTAAACGACTCGTTTTCGCAAATAAAGATTGTGGGATTCGTGTGGTGTGCGGTTAAGGAGTGAAATCCACAGATCAATATCTTTCAACAATAAAATTTATTCAATAAAAGATAAGAAATGAAACTAACAAACAACAAAATAAAGAAATATATATTATAATGACAGCCGAAACCAAATCGCTTAATTGGGGAGCCTCTTGTTCACTGGCTACTAGAACGACCCAACGATACAAGAATCAGGTGAACAGTATAAGTCTGACAGGGTAGTAAATCAATTGACTCTAATTATAAAATCGTAATTGCTGAACTGCCACCCAAAAGACACGGGCTTCAGAGACCAAGCCACTCAAATGGGGAGCCTGCTATTCGCTGGCTACGAAACTACCCAGAGCGAACTCCGAGAATCTGACGGCGCGTTAGCAATCCGACGAAAAATCAAATTTGAGTAGCTGAGAGCTATCGTTTCGATATCTTAGCCTTTCTTGGCGCTAAGTATAGCACTCTCCTAAAGGAGTTTCAGATACGAGACCGTTTGAATGGGGAGC